CTTTAAACCGCATAAACACATTTCATTACACCAAATACACAAAATAATGTTATTTTTAGCAGCATCATATGACCCCTTAAATTATGTAAGAAATGAAGCTAAATTAAATTGCTTAATAAAGAATCTTCCATATTATCCCAAAAAAGAAATAAAAAATCACAAAAGACAGGATGACACAATTTACGTGGGAGTCATTTTCTTCCGTATGTGTTTGCACAGGAAGTGTTGAGTCTATAAAACATGATTAGAGTGTGAATTGTTACACCCACAGAGCAGCAGTGGAAAACATGTCGAAGTACAACTGACAGACATTCTTCCAGCCTCTGAGCGTCTCTGTGGGCGCTGATCTGGGTTGACGTGTGCCGTAAATATGAAATGACATTATGACCTCCTTAAATAGAATTAGGATGAAACAAGATAAGACACGCATTTCTCCTTAACTTGGTCACATCAGTCAATATTGTTTAAATTACTTGTTTAAAAATATAAGGCATATAATATAAATCGTAACCATAATTTGATAATGTCACGTTTGCCGCCTTCTTGTTGTCTGATTTGTGATGCTGTTTGAATTTGTGAAATAAATATGTAATATTTGAACTCTTATATGGAAAAAATATGAATCAAGCACAAAACCTCCAAAAATCTTAACATGTCTGAGTTATTATTTCCTAAAAAGGCAGCAACTGAAAACAAATATTTCCAAACTATTTTTGAAGCTGTTGTTTCATATGCCTATGTCTAATCATGCCATAACAATAAAGCATTATTATATATCTGAAAAAATAAATAAAAAATACATGTGCATTTCCCTTCCAGCCAATGAATGCTATTCCTTGTTAAATAAATGATCTGCTTCCATTTATGTTATTGTAACAAACGCTTGCACGTACCAATAAATTAATTAGTTTTATTCATCAGTTAAAGCAAAAAACAACAACAAAAATCAAACAAACAAATCTGGGTAAAAACCCCTCTGTTATGACATATGCGATCAGGTGTTGTGTTTGAGATTTAATCGGGATTTTTGAATCAATATAGCAGCGAAACGTGGGAAGCAACAGTGACAGACTGGTGTGTCGTGTGCTTCAAGCTGACCGAAACATCGTCTGAATAAAACACTCCGCAAGTCCCTCCGCGATATTTCTTTCATTAAACACATTGTCAAAGTGTTTGTTAAAAACACGGATGACACATTCAAATATTCACCACTGTTAATACACAAAATGTACATGAAAAGTACACGCAACTTTGTCCATTACCGTGCTCACGCCGTGGATTTGATCTGACGGTGTTAAAATAAATGTTCACTTGTAGCAATCTTTGGTCCCTAAATAAAGTTCAGTACCTCTACAATATGTATACGTTGGTTTTACTCGACTAAATTACTTAACAACTTCAATTTTATTAAAAATATGAAAGGAGAAAACACAAGCAGCGGTCGCTCATGCAGGAGCACAGACACTGAGCAGCGCTGGTTGAGTCTACACGGTTCTCATGCCGTGGTTAAAAGCGCAGCGCCGCACAGCAGCGGCTCATTCATTCTTTGTTGTTTACAGTCACAGTTCGAGTCCAGATTCGTTCAGAGAGATCATGGCAGAAACGGCTCCAGCACCTGCCGCGACCAAGGCGGCCAAGAAGAAACCAGCAGTTAAACGCAAGAGAACGGGTCCGAGCGTCGGCGAGCTCATTGTCAAGGCTGTGTCCGCGTCTAAGGAGAGGAGCGGTGTGTCCCTCGCCGCCCTGAAGAAAGCGCTGGCTGCCGGTGGCTACGATGTGGAGAAGAACAACTCCCGCGTCAAGATCGCCGTTAAGAGTCTGGTGACTAAAGGCACTCTGGTCCAGACCAAAGGAACCGGCGCCTCTGGCTCGTTCAAGCTCAGCAAGAAACAAGCCGAGACCAAGACAAAACCCGCCAAGAAAGCCGCCCCTAAAGCCAAGAAGCCCGCAGCAAAGAAGGTCGCCGCCAAAAAACCTGCCGCCGCTAAGAAGAAGCCCAAGACCGCAGCCGCGAAGAAGCCCGCCGCCAAGAAATCCCCGAAGAAGGCCAAGAAACCCGCTGCTAAAAAGGCAACGAAGAGCCCCAAAAAAGCAAAGAAACCAGCGACTCCTAAGAAAGCAGCCAAGAGCCCTAAAAAGGCCAAAGCAGCCAAACCCAAAACGGCGAAACCCAAAGCTGCCAAGCCTAAGAAGACGGCAGCCAAAAAGAAATAAACTGCGTCTTTTCTGATGTTTTATCAAAACGGCTCTTTTAAGAGCCACCCACTAATTCAAAGTAGAGCATTATTTCCTCGGTTGTCTGTCCAGTGTTGTGTCCTTACATAAATTGGACATCATTGATAAAATAATTTAAATACTGTTTCAAGTCAAACTTTAAACTATTATTATTATTAAAACCAGACAGTTCAGTAAATAATAGGTAAGGCAGGGTTAATCGTGTAGCACATTTAATAAATAAAGAGTAAAGTACTATATACATAAAATTATATAAATGTCCTTAAAATAAAAAAAGAATCAGAAATAACCAAATCGAAAGAAAACGAAATAAAGTTACACACAAAAAAGAAACTAATATGTTTAAAGAGTTGTAAATACTAAATAGCAGAAGGGGGTTGGGTTTGGAGGGAAGTTCACTGATTGGCTTAAACCGTGTTCAGACTCCAGCCAATAGGAGACTGGTACGCTTTCTTTCAAAAGTCACATCGCAGCCTTCTATACAATCATTGTTTTTAAAACAGTTTTTCTACTACAATGAGTGGAAGAGGCAAAACCAGTGGAAAGTAGGGATGGGCGATACCCCTTATTTTGTTTTCGATACGATACCGATATTTTTCAAGGCAGTATCGTCGATATCGATTCGATACTTCTGCACTAAACTTTTAAATTACGAAATGTATTAAATTACTAAGAGTAAAATGGGTAATGAAAACCACTTACCTTTGTTTAAAACGCATTTTAACCCGTTTAATCCCAAATGTTTCCCAGACATGAAAATACCCAAATGATGTGTCATTAGTAACCCTTTGAAATAATCAATTTTTTTCGCGTCGGTGCCGGTGCTCCGGTGTATTTGGCCGCTGTGCTCGAGTATCTGACGGCTGAGATCCTGGAGCTGGCTGGAAACGCTGCTCGGGACAACAACAAGACCCGTATCATCCCCCGTCACCTGCAGCTGGCGGTGCGCAACGACGAGGAGCTGAACAAGCTTCTGGGTGGTGACCATCGCTCAAGGCGGCGTGCTGCCCAACATCCAGGCCGTGCTGCTGCCCAAGAAAACCGAGAAACCTGCCAAGACCAAGTAAACCTGAGTCAGGTTTCTTCTCAAACCAAAGGCTCTTCTAAGAGCCACACATTTTCTCTGTGCGAGAGTGATTTCTTTCATCTGATCACGAAGTTGGTATGAAAATCTGTATAGTTATTAACTGTTTAACGGATAGAAGCAAAGAGCATAATATAAAATAATGATCAGAATCAGAATCAGAATGAGCTTTATTGCCAGGTGCGTTTACACATACAAGGAATTTGTTTTCGTGACAGAAGCTTCCACAGTGTAACAGAATGACAGCGACAGAACAAAAAAACACATAATAAAAAATAAAAATAAATAAAAAAATAGAACAAGTAA